TATATATATATATATTTTTTTTTTAAGTATACATATATTTCATTTCCCAGCTGTAAGAGAAAGAAAGAAAAATGTGCGCGCGCACTGCTGACGCTTGCCTATATCCCCCACCAATTACCGTTCGCCTCGCCTGATCACACTTTGCGTAACGCGTTCGTCAGCTTACTCCCCAAGCCAAGCGCGCGTAAAGAAGTTTCACTTCAAAAAGTTTGCATATTTGTAATATAGACTTTTAATGAATCAAATTTGTATCTCACTCCGGTGTAATTCTGAGTGCGCGAAAAAAATATGCTAAGTCATAAATATCCGAGCTCTAATTATAACTTATAGTCAATAGGTAGTAATTGTTTTCTTTATTTATTTAACATACAATATKGGCTTAAAATTAATGAGTAAAAGTCATATGGTGACATTTAGCTATATTGAAGACCAATCCTAGTTTGTTAGCTCATGCAACAATTGCATTCAGATCATCTTTTAGGACAAGATAGTCGTTTAAAGAGTTGATACAATCGATAAATATGGAATACTTTTACATCACCTGCAAATACTAGGAGCTGTATATGTTTTAATGAATGGTTAATACTATTGAATTAATTATTTTAAGATTCCCATTCAACACTAAAATAGATATAGTAAGGAATTGTTGAAATTAAACCTTGATATTATTTTGAGCGCAGAAAGAAACAAATTTTAGAATATATTTGTGCATGAATATTGAAGTCGTTAATTTTACTAACTACGACCTCTCACAAATACTACATAACGCCGGCTCTGTGTATGTAATAATAAAGTATAATATTCGTTATTATATATTGAATAAAATAGATGATTAATAGTTAAATACCACTTTTAACACCACATTCTTACGAGTTGTTTTACGCGATAACAGTAAGGTATAGATGGATACAAAAAACCACACATTTAATTCATTTTCAGTACACGAGTACACCAACTATTTAAATTTATTATACACTAGGTGTGCATCTTTACATGACTACATAATAGGCTTTATGTGACATATAAAGCTCTGATATAACATAATAAATTATTTGGGATAGATGATCAATGATTAATAATTTAAAACTCTGCTTACTTATGAAAACTACTTACGTCAAATGTTTCAACATCGGAATCGAACGACATTCTGGTATATACTGTTTRACTGTTGTAAGTATTTATTCTGCTAACAAAACATAAGAAATGTACAAATGTACAAATTATTAAAATATTTAATTTATACCGTTGTTATAAATAGTATTCATAATCAATGATTATACTATTTATACCCATTTCATTATAACATGCAGTGTGATATGAATACTTCCAAAATCCGGTAATTTTATTTCTTTTCGTGTCAACATATTTTGTTTTCCATTATTACACTTCATTCATCATTGTATTCGATTTATTAAAAACTAGTGCAACACTCGCATAGTGCTTGTGGAAGTTCCGTGCATACTATTTTGTCAAATCGAAAACGCTAATAGTTTTTGGCACTCGACACCGTCAGCGTTTTTGTCGCGTTCGCCAGGCTCACAAAGACAGGGCAATCTGTTTAATTATATATTATAAAAATTCAAAAGTTCACCACAACGACGACACTGTTCCTTCCCCGCTCTGCCCCTCTCCCCCACAAAATTACACGCCGCAAAAACCTACGTCCGGACACCAAGGCTGACGACGATTGATCACTTATACGATTTGTTCTCTGCCATCGAATGGGGACTCCTATAGCAATTGACGACGATTTAGCAACTCTTCTTGTTTCAAGATCGTTTTTTCTATTATTTTGCACTACCGTCATGATGGGATAAACACAACGGGCCCACGGCGGGTGAAGCTGTCGAACAAACCAACCAGTCGATCTTATCACCTCAAGACATCAGTCGTCGTTGTAATGTATTTATTCCCTCTATTTCCCCCTTTTCAATGTACTTCATTTCGTTATTATTTTCCCTGCTACATGTTTTGTTCAGAGAGCATGGCTGGGTGACTCTTACACACCAGGGAGTTTCGTTTGACATTACAACACCCGCGTCGGAGAATTACGTCGAAGCTCCGGTCACCCCGTAGCTCTGTAGCTACATCGGAATAAAACTGAACAAACGAGCAGACACAGCAGCAAAATAAGCAACGACTGATCATTGAAAAGATTTTTCCACAGATGGCCTAAAAAGAGCAGCTAAAAATACCATAATAAATGGCACGCAAGGAAAGGTACTTGCTGRGGGAAAATAAATTAAGAGAAATAAAACATGTATAAATGGATCAATTCTCTAAATAACAAGAAATTGGTACATAACATTGACGTGGCTAAGGAAATACCTAACATACTCTCATGAATATCTTATGGATAAAACAGTCATGCATTGCTTGTGATTCTGAAACATCTACTAAAARAATCTAGTCAATTTAATGAAGAAATATCAAAATATATAATATCCCCGAATATCTCAACAATGAATCTCCAAATATCTATAACCTAGGTTCTGACATTTATCAAAGACACCAATTTATACAAGGTCATATCATMAGAAATTCAGAATAAAATCAATATGTGCATAATATTATGTATTTTATTTTATTTTTAATTATACTTAGTTTTTTATTTTATTCTATACTATACTAAAAAACCAAATATAATACACTTATAGTGGTCAATAACCAATTCAGTGGACGTCTTTTGTAATAATAATAAAAAATTATGCTAATTAATTAGTACAATATATCATGTTTATATATATATAGTTCCAAGAAAATGGAAATTTTATATTTAGTCATAATAAAAAATAATAAGTTGAATAATATTATGTAATAATGTAAAATAATATCAGAAATAGTTTATAAATATATTTTTAGTGTAAGCCACAATAACAAGTTACAACTTACAATAACAATCTTTATTATCGAGTCAGCTTGACCAAATTCATATTTCAAATCGTAATTATGCCAAATTGTATTATGTTCCACAGTGGACTGAAATTTATTGTGCAGATTCTTTTTTTGTTGCTAGGCATACGTTTACATCATTCTTATTGTTGCATTTCATTTTTCCGCCAAGTCGATAAACACTCTATTTAATACAACAATTTATTTTCCAATCTTAAAATATCATTATATTAGAATATATTGATGTTGTTAAAACCGTTTGTAGTTTTTTTTTTTTATAGTTGTTTATTGAGTCGTTATCAATTTATTTAAGTCCACCAACTAGAAAATCAATATAATATCAAAATGGATTTACAGTGATACAAATTAACTATACATCGTTTACAATATATTGTAGTAAAATAACATTATGGCTTGAACGTTAAACATGTTTAATTATTCTGAAATTCATTAAAAACACTATCAAGACAATATGATGGAAAAAATGTCATTTTCTGAAATGATGATAAAGATAGAAAAATTGCTCTTAGAAATACAAACAGTTTCTAAAAGTGATAGAAAAAAAACCGAAGAAAATAATGAAAAGAAAATCAGTCTTAATAGAATAAATACACAAATACAAAAACAAAGTTAGATGATATTAAAAATAAATTTAAGTCGAAACCTATAAATGATATATATTTTTTAGTTTTGTATAATAAAAAGTTAACTAACGAAATACATGGTATTGATAAGCTCAAACACGAATACGAAGATGAATTAAATGATAAGCTACACAATAAAAAAATATTGTCTTCAAAGATTATGGAACAATTTGAAGAAATACAACGTTTATTAGGTGAGATAAAAATTTAAAAAAACATTTCACCCTCAGTATTTATAGTAGAATTATCAGAATTCCACAACGGATAGGTAAAAACTTTATCAGTGTCATAGCGTTGTTATTTTTTGATGACATAAAATTAAATTAAAGTTATTAGMTTAAGAAAAAAAAAATTTTTTTTAAATTATTTATTAAAAATTATTGGTTTGATTCCATTTGGTGGCATCCTCTTAAAATACCAAAAATACTTATTTCAACAAAATACATTTGTATATTATTTTGATTCTTTGTTAATCATAGGAACGGCGACAAATTTGTTTGTTACCTAGTTTGAGGATAAATCGTTATCGTTAGGCAATTTCATAAAAATTTAAAACTCAAACGCTCAAAACATTTTTCCTATAATGACGCTTCAAATTTCATTTATAGCTATTTGAAAAAAAACTTATGGAAAACTTAGTGTTGAATTTTTTAACCTTAGATATAAATACAAACAAATTTATGAATTTTGAACTACAAAATAATTTGCAAATATTCATCGTTTTGACGAATTTTTGTCAATATTTGAAATTCAAATGATAATAAAAAAAAATTTGCCTATGTATTCTTATAATTTTTTAAGAATAACTTATGTCCTCATAACTTTGTATCAAATTTTCAAGTATTTTTATAGGGCCAAAACAATTTTATCGACACTTCAAAAAAAAAATTTTCGGAAAAATTGAAAATTTCAGTTGTCTATAAATATCTCAAAAAAAGTCAAAATATTTTGAAAATTAAATAA